AAACGACCAAGGACACCAGAGGCAAACTCGCCACCACGGTCAGAGTGGAGGCGCAAGACAGGGAGACCGCGACGGACACGCGCAGCGACAAGCCACGGGATAAGAACGGCAGGCACGTCGGCCTTCCTCTCCAGGGGGAACACTGTGGTGTAGCGCATGTAGTCGTCGACAAGCACTAGGAAGTAGCGCTCTCGACGCGGCCCATGGACGGGGGCGGGGCCCCACACGTCCATGTGTAGAGTCTGTAGCGGTGCGGCGGTAGGGGGAAACGAGGAGTGAGGAGCATGGCGAAGCCGGCCCTCGACACAAGGCGTGCAAGGTGGGGCAGGGGAGGAGGGAAACTCTGAGAACGACCCAAGGAGGCCTAGGACGAGACCGTGCTGTGACATGTGACGCAGACGCGGGAGCGCAGGGTGACCTAGACGGGGGTGCGACAGGAGGGACGGGTGGGTGAGTGACCGACAGGAGCAGGCAGCAGCAACCTGGATAGACGCAGCCACCTGAGGGGAGGTCCCAGCCGGGGGGGTCACAGTGTCCAGTGTGAACAATCTGGACACCGGGTCCCGAGGGAACGTGGTTAGGGGGGCACCAGTGGCGGCCTTGGTACAGACAGCGTACCGCTCGTGACCAGGGAACATAGTGGTGACGCCAAGGTCCTGGAGGCAGCCGACACCAACTATGCTCCTGGAAAACGAGGGGATGTGCAGGCCTATGAGAGAGCCCGAAGGAACCGCTGGGCAGGGGAGGGTGGTGGAACTGCGGGCGACTACAGGGCCAAAGGAGGGGTCAGCTAGGGAGACGGTGGCAGGGACAAGAAGCGGTGTCAACGTGGTGTAGTCGCGGAAGAAGCACCGGGAAGCGCCAGAGTCGAGGGTGAAGGAGCGCGCGGCAGTGGCGGCCGGAGGCGAAGTAGCGACAAAAGCACCAAGGCTAAACAAAGCAGGGGATCCTATGCCTGACGCAGCAGGGGATTCTAAGGAAGGCACTCCTACACTAGGCAACAAGGGATAATAAGACGGAAGCACACTAGAGTCATCAGCATACATCACATGCAGAGCAGCAACAATCTCATCCATGTCCAGATCAAAAATCTGAACCGTACGACTAAGCAAGCTGTGCCAGTCTGGGAGCTCGGGCGACGAACCGAAACGCTAACGAAACAGGTCCTCCAGGCGACGGAAACAGCGGACGGAGGTATGACCGATCTTACCGCAAATGAAGCCACGGCGAAGACCGGTCTGAAGCAGGTACTGACAGCGCGCGGCACCCGAACCACCACTCGGCAGCCCACCACGCGCACCACCACCACGTCCAGCGCTGCCACAAGCGCCGGGCCACCCAGGCGGAAGACGACTCATCCGCCTCTACTGCTGCTGCGACTGCTGCGGCTGCGGCGACGGCTGCAGCTGCGGCGGCTGCGGCTGCTGCGGCTGGCGCGGGTCCGGCGACTGCTGAGACGGCTGCTCGGCTGCACGTGTCAGGGTCCCCGCGCCAGCACCACCACTAGGTGAACCAACTCCAACACCACCTACACCCGCACCCCCACCCCCGTCGCCACGTCCAGCCTTGGGGCGGTGACCAGTGAGATGGCGACGGTGTTCAGCAAGCCACGCATCAAACTCAATCGGCTGGCCCTCAGCGTCAAAGCAAAGCGCTGCCGCCATGAGTAACAATAGAGGGCAGTGTAGAGTAGGACAGTGCAGTGCAGTGCTGTGCAGTGCGGTGTAGTGCGGTGCAGTACGGTGCAGTGCGGCGCAGTGCGGTACAGTGCGGTATAGTGCGGTGCAGTGTGGTGCAATGCGGTACAAAGCGGTGCAGTGCGGTACAGTGCAGTATAGTGCGGTGCAATGCGGTGCAGTGCGGTACAAAACTGTGCAGTGCGGTGCAAAGCGATGTAGTACGGTACCGGGGGGGTTCGGAGGGCGGTGCTGATCGGGAAGAACGGGCCGAACCCGAGGCTGCGGCGGGCCGGCGACGGTGCAAATGCAGGGGCCGGCCGGCGGGCGGCAAGTTGACACGGCTGCGACGGTAGCTAGGGACAGCTGCAACGGCGGCCAGGGACAGCCGCGTCGTCAGCCAGGGGCAGCCACGACGGCGGCCACGGACAGCCGCGACGGCGGCTAGGGACAGCCGCGACGGCGGCGAGGGGCGGCCGCGACGGCAGGAGCGACCGTGAGGCGGCGACGACTAGGGGCGGCCACGACGGCGAGGGGCGGCCGGGACGACTAGGGGCGGCCGAGGGACGGCAGGAAGCGGCCGCGACGGCGACTAGAAGCAGCCGCGACGGCTAGGGGCGGGCTCAAACGGCCAGGGGGCCTGCGCGGAGTGCGCGCGAAACGGCCAGGGCGCCGGCTAGGAGGGGCTCAACGGCCAGGGGGCCGGCTAGGGACGAGCGCAAACGGCAGGGGGCCGGCTAGGGACGGGCGCGAACGGCCATGGGGCCGGCTAGGGGCGAGCGTGACGGTCAGGGGGGCCGGCTAGGAGCGATCGCGACGGCCAGGGGGTTGGCTAGGGGCGAGCGCGACGGTCAGGAGCCGGCTAGGAGCGATCGCGACGGGCATGGGGCCGGCTAGGAGCGGGTGCGACGACCAGGGGGCCATCTAGAGACGGGCGCGACGGCTAGGGGGCCGGCAAAGGGCGAGCGCGATAGCCAGGGGGCCAGCTAGGGGGGGGCGCGAACGGTCAGAGGTCGGCTAGGGACGGGCGCAACGGTCAGGGGGCCCACTAGGAGCGATCGCGACGGTCAGGGGGCCGGCTAGGAGCGGGCGCGACGGCCAGGGAGCCAGCTAGAGACGGGCGCAACGGCTAGGGGGTCAGCTAGGGACGAGCGCGACGGCCAGGGGCCGGCTAGGGACAGGCGCGAACGACCAGGGGGGCGGCTAGGGACGAGCGCGAACGACCAGAAGGCCGACTAGGGACGAGCGCGAACGACCAAGGGGGCCGGCTAGGGACGAGCGCGACGGCCAGGGAGTCGGCTAGGAACGTAGGGGCGGAAGCGTGAGCAGGCTAGGGGGGGATCTAACCTACTATGATACCATATCATAAAGAAAAATGATTGAACTAGAATGTGTGTGTATAAGGATATATAGACTAGTGTATTGTACCGTCTAAGGCACAATCCAGTATAGTCTACGGTAACAACCTAAGTTACATTTGACACGTTATTTCAGAATACGGAATGCGGAATACGGATTACGCTGCGAGCTTTCCGTATTCCGTGCGTAGACTCGTCAGGTTGGGCTGGTTTATGTGCGAAATTGCGTGATGTAACTGACGCGTCTGAGCTAGCGAATTTCCAAACTTGCCCGCCACGATCTTGGTCACGAAAAACAGAAGGGAGGGGGGAAGCAGGGCTTCATATTGTGCATCAGGGGCCCTGCATCTGGCTTGATATCGAAATGGGACCCTGAATTTGTTTTCTTGGCGGTCAGACACAAGCTGGTATTGGGTATTCCACGTTTCCTGTTTCCGAAATAAGGGCATTAGTCATTGCGTCTGGATTGCCCCACTCTTCACTATTCCTACAAAGAAGTGGGAATTCACATCGACCGGCTGTTGGCACGATTTCGTCCGAGCAGGGCCCTAGATTGGTTTTGAGGCTTCGTGATCCATCAGGATTCTCCCTGCATAAAAGTCTGAATTTTCAGGGTCCCCTAAAAAAAAATCCTGAGCCATCAGAATTACCTAAAAAAAAAACAACTGATTTTTCAATCTTTCTATACATGTTATAGTTCTTGAATTTTGTGTGTTCAAGTCTTGGTTTTTTGGGGTGCTTGGAATTCGTAGCGAATTCGCGCGTGTGGCGAGATTGGGGGATGGGCATGAAACGACAATTGGTGGGGGGGGAGAGGGAGGAAGGGCTGAATAGGGGGGGAGGCGACGAGATTGCAGGGGCGGAAGGAATCTCTTCCCTCGCAGAGCCCTAGGGCAGGCGCACATCAAGCAAATTCGGCCAAGGGCTAGCCATTGCCCTCACACAGTCCTCAGCACACCTCCCTCACATGACCTCCAACATACAGCGCGGAGATTTTTTTTATCAAGGGCCAATCAGCGCCCTCACACAGCCTCGGGGGGTGGGGGAAGGGGGGGGGGGAGAACCTCGAAATTATTGACTGCCCCCCCTAGACACGCTTTTGGAAAGGACTAAGACCCGCTACAATGCTGAGAAATTCAGGGTTCGCTAAGAAACCTTGCTGAGCGATCAGAGTTTACCCTTAGAAAATGCCTTAAAAAACAGGGTTTGTCATTTACAAAACCCTGCACAATCAGGGTAAGTACCGAGAAACTCCCTGTTTTTTTCCTGAATCAGGAAAAAATTCCTGACTTCTGGGGGCCTGCGCCCGAGTGAGCAGCTAGGTGCCCTTTCCTCATTCCATATTCCAGCCTTCCTTATTCTGGTGATCGGTACACACCGCAATTCCAGGAGGTTTGGTGTGATTAAAAAGATTAGTTGGTTTTAAGCCTATTCCGAGCCAGACCTGAGAAATTGCTCGACACCATCCGAGTTCCAGAATGCGGCCAACCGATTCAATTTCAGACACTCCAAGGGCACAAGCGTCGGCAATGCGCGTCCCATCTGTGCCAGCAAAGGGCAAGCAGAAGGTCAACTCAACGATGTGTTGGCTGCCAGCAGTGCAAATATCATAATTCCTCGATCTGCGTGGCATGGCAACAGCAACTGCTCTCCGAGAAAAGGTATCCAGCTCGGACCAAGGTTGCCGACAACCATCGTGGAGGCTGTGTGCCCTGGATGGCCTTGTCGGTGCTGCTAGGATTTTCTGTGGGCGTCATGCGGCGCTTGCCCCATCTCAAGGGTCGCGGATTTGCTTTGCAAATGTCTGACCCCCGCCACGCTCAGGGGTCACTACAGGTGTGGTACAGTATGGATGGGAGCATCATGCTGCTGGGAGAAGTATGTCAAGCAGGGTCATCCACCCGTCTCCCCAGATTTTGCCCACGCTATACATATCGGCAATCCCTTCACTCTACCCAGACCCATTTCAGGTCCCTGAATCTTGCTTGGTGTCACTCCTCTTGTGACAACGCTGGGCCTAAGCAGTGTCTGCCAGCACCGTGCTCACACTACCCAAAGCAAGCCGTGGGAGCTCTTGTTGCTGCGGAAGCAATGGCCGTCTCTCGTCGTGCTGCTCAGGTACGCTGTTGTCGCACTCGCTTCCACATACCTAGATCCAAAGGTGCTAATCGGGTTCTAGTCTAACGTCTCTGTTCCTGAGCAGAAATTCTTCCTCAATGGCGCCTTCCGCCCATTTGCATCCCTCTCAAGCGCGTCGCCCGTCAATCCTCTCGACATGCCGACTGCGCCCAAACAATCGCCCTCCATACCGCACTATATGACGTACTCGACAAGCTCGAGTTTTGGAACGCGAGGAAGCGTCAAGGCCAGCAATGTCACTCCCGGAGTTGTCAGCAATCTTTGTAGCGTCAAGCTGCCAGTTTCAGCGGCAGCAGCTGTTCATACTGCGACAGAACCCAAGCACGACATGTTCTGTTTCCAATGCGAACAGACACGGGTGAGTTGTTGCTGGCGAAACTAGTCTGCATCAGTGGTACAACCTACCTGTCGAATTCTTCAGTAGGTGGTCGAATAAGCACGAATGAAAGGTTAACCTGTGGCATATTTGCATTTTCAGGACGGTAAGGGATGCATGACTGTGGGCGTGTGCGGCAAGGATCCTGAGGCCGCTGCGCTTCAAGACCTTCTTGTCCACTCTCTGAAGGGTACGATGAAATTTCCTGTTTCATAAGTGGCTTGTGATTATCAGTGCACTCATGTCACTCTCTTAATCACTCTGCAGGATTGGCCCAGTATGCCACTCGTGCGCGTGATTTAGGGCTCGAGATTGGTGCCGAGGTGGATTTGTAAGTCGTGAATGCGCTCGATTGCCAGCTTTTTTCCTCTTATAATCCCGTTTCTCATGACAACCCCTCTGCACTTGCAGTTTTGTGCAAGAAGCGGTTTTTTCAACCCTCACAAATGTGAACTTCGATTCTGCTGCTCTTCAGCAGTACGTCAAGGAGGCCATTCACCATCGCGATGCTCTCAGGTAATGTGGCTAGCTGGGACCGATTTCTCCTCTGATCATTACCCTTGGACTAACAGTAACATCCGATGTAATCTGAATGCAGGGCGAGGTATCTGGCCGCAGGGGGCAAAGAAGAAGCTGCCTTGAAAACCCATCAAGCAACGTTCGAGCTTGGTGCATCACTCAGTGACATCGTGGAACAAGGACGCGGAGTAGGCGTTGAGACCCGTCGTGTCGGATGGGATGAAGATATTTTCAGCCTACAGGAGCTTTTGGTGTATGGCCTTAAGGGAACTGCTGCATACTCGGCTCACGCATATGCTGTTGGAAAGGTATGTAAACCCGATACCAGCCCGTCCAAGCATTGACAGCCTGGCCTTGACTCGTAGGGTCTAACTCTCTTAACACCTTTGGTAAACAGCGAGATACGAAGATTTCGGACTTCATATATGAGGCTTTCGACTACCTCTCACGACCAGCTGATCAGCAGACGGCTGAAGGCCTTCTTGGCCTTGCCCTCAAGTGTGGCGAGACCAACCTTCGTGCAATGGAGATCCTCAACGAGGGCCACTGCGAGAGCTTCGGCACCCCAGAGCCTACTGTCGTAAGTGAAAGACCTGTTCCCTTAGTTTTCTCTCGCCGGTTCGGCATAACATCCTAATCCCCTTTCATTATCCATTCTCAGGTTCGGACATCCCCTGTCAAAGGGAAGTGTATCTTAGTATCAGGTCATGATATCAAGGACCTCTACGAGCTGCTTAAGGCGACGGAAGGAACGGGCATAAACGTGTACACACACGGAGAGCTGCTTCCTGCTCATGGCTATCCCGAGCTGAGGAAGTTTAAGCACCTTATTGGCAACTATGGTGGCGCCTGGCAGCTACAGAAGATTGAGTTCGCCGCTTTCCCTGGCCCAATCATCGTCACCACGAACTGTCTCTTGGAGCCCAAGCCCAGCTATGCAAACCGAATCTACTCAGCAAATGCTGCTGGGTAAGGACCTTCCACTTTAGCTTTCAGTGGCCGAGCCATAGACGTCCACTAAAACCTGTGAATGTTTTCCGTCTCAGGCACAAAAAGGTCCAGCACATTGATGGACGCCGGTTTGACCCTGTTATCAAGCAAGCATTGGAGATGGAAGGATTTGTCGTAGACGCACCTGAACGCACAGTTATGACAGGGTTTGGCCATGCTGCTGTCTTGAAGGCGGCTGATGTCGTCATCAATGGAATTAAGGATGGACGCATCAGCCACCTTTTCCTGATTGGTGGTTGTGATGGATGGGAAGGCGAGCGCTCTTACTTCCGTGATCTTGCCCTCTCTTTGCCACAGGTAATGACTGTCGTACTTGAAGTCATAGTTGCCTGCCATTGGACAGTGAAGGTGTCCTAACATTGAGCTGCTGGTCATACGTGCAGGATGCTGTGGTTCTGACCCTGGCCTGTGGAAAGTACCGCTTCAACCATCAGCAGCAGCAGTTTGGCAACATCACTGGTACCCAGATTCCTAGGCTGATGGATGTGGGCCAGTGTAACGATGCCTACTCCGCCATCCGAATTGCTTCCGCATTGGCCCAGGCGTTCAACACTGACGTTAACAGTCTGCCCCTCTCGTTGGTCATCTCCTGGTTCGAGCAGAAGGCTGTTGCTGTAAGTTGTGTGAGCAAGATCAACAAAGTTCACAATTTTGTGAAATTCCTTGTTGCTGATAAACATGGCTTGTGTGCATGCAGGTGCTTCTTACCTTACTTCATCTTAACATCCAAAACATCCGCATTGGGCCCAAGCTTCCAGCATTCGTAACGCCTAATGTGCTTCAGATCCTTGTTGACAAGTACAAGCTCACGCCTATCGGGGGGCCGGAGAGCGTCCAGCAGGAGATGAAGGAGATGCTGTCATGAACCCATGGTGACTGTTTTGTCAGAGGTCCTTCTTACATCATGCTGTCTTGAGGTCCGATCTTTATGACCCATGGTAGTCTAAGCTGAATTTTGCTGACCAACATCTCACTGTAAAGTAGCGATGACTTAAGAAAGCAACACGTGAGCGAACAAGAGTGAGGCCAACTAGGTAACAACAGTAGCGCACAAACTAAGATTGTAAGGTTGGGATTGGACTACCAGACCTGCCAACAACCGATTGACTGAACGGGACGATTTAGTTTAACATGCTGTATTTCTCCTCAGTTGCACACTGAGCCCATATGTTTCCTTGTATGGTGCAAATTGGAATGCAATCTCAAGAATCTCAGAATGGAATTTGTGTGCATAGGAAACCGTTTGGCCCAAGAAGCTGGTATTGTGGATTTCTTGGAATATTATCGAATCCTAGATCCCATGAATTTAAAACCCGTGGCCCGAATTGCGAGGCGCGACCTTCAAACGCAGTGCGTTTGAAAGATGCAATTTCGTGGATGTTTGTGGAGGCGTAATTGTTAAAGCGAGCGGACAGACCAAACTCAAGACTCAAAACCTTTGAGTCTTGAGTTTGGGTAGCGAAATTGACGAGCGGCCCATCTACCCCCACGAAAGGCGCCTGCCCCACGCGAAACGGTCTGGCCCCTCGCGATGGGAAAACAGACCTCGTCAAAACCTGGGAGGTCGCAGGGCAGATTCTGGACGACAGCACCACTCTGTTAACGTAGAAACGAATGATTACTAGAGGTGGAAACCTAGAACAAATACTAGTTGGTTGTACTCACTAGAAGCATACCTCAGTCTAGCCTATAACTTCTACATAGATAATATGTATAAGTTGACACACCCCCTAGGCTAGACAAGGGGTGAAACTAAACAAGAAGCAAACAGCTCAGGGCGGCACTACTAGTCCAACCACTGAGGCAGGGGTCTGGAGACCAGTCAGCAAGAATACAACCAAAACTGAAGCAAGCCAGGGTGGCACTACTAGTCCAGCCACTGGAGGTAAGGCCACAAAGCCAGTCTGACAAGCATATATAATAGAGAGTACACAATCAGGATCCTAACAGGGGAGCAGCTATAGGAACAAGACCAAGCTGTACACAGTGCCGCTGATGATCTTTAGGCGCAAGCGCCTTAGTAAAGATATCAGCTGTGTTGGCACCTGAGGCCAAGTGAACTACGCGGGCCTGGCGGCGCTGCTGTAGCTCGCGCAGGAGGAAGTACCGCAGCTGGATATGCTTCGCTCTGCCCTCAAGCCGAGGCTCCTGACACAGGAGTATCATGGCCCTGTTGTCAGCGTACAGGACCGGGGCAGAGCTAGGCCGCTCACCTAAGTCTGTGAGCAAGAAGGTCAGCCAGCGGAGCTCCTGTGCCGCCATGGCACCAGCGTAGATCTCAGCCTCACAGCTAGACTGAGCCACAGACGACGAGCGAGTGGATCTCCAAGAGATAGCACCCGAACCAAGGCTGAAACAGTAGCCCTGCGACGACCTGAGCGTCTCAGCGTCGTCTGCCCAAGAAGCGTCTGTGTGCCCAGTAAGGACCACTGGCCTGCGTCCTCCTAGCACTAACCCCATGCCTGATGTACTAGCAAGATAACGCAAAACCCTCTTAGCGGCAGACCAGTGCTGAGGTCGGTGTCTGCCTGTAGCCACAAAGCGAGCCAGGATGCTGAGAGGGTATGCGAGATCTGGGCGAGTGCAAGTCATCAGGTACATGAGGCAACCCACCAGCTCTGCGTAGGGGCCACTGGGCTCTACTGGCTCCTCAGGAACGGGAGCAGAGAGCCCATGGTCTACGGGTAGAGGTGTGGGCTGTGCGGAGGAGAACTGAAGACCGAACCTCTGAAGGACCTGACGCACCAAGTGTGACTGGGTCAGAGTGATGGTGCGTGCTGCTCTGTCCCTAGAGATCTGCAGGCCAAGATAGCGACGCAGCTCTCCAAGGTCAGTGCAGGTGTGTCTCTTCAGCAGCTCAGCCTTCACAGAGGCCAGTGCGTCCCTGTCAGGAGTAGCGAAGACCAGGTCGTCTACGTAGACAAGGATGTAGAACGGAGTCTGGCCGGAACGCACAAACAGTGAAGGGTCAGCAGAGGACGGAAAGAACTGCAGGTCTGCTAACGTGGCACGTAGCGTGTCGTGCCACTCGCGGGGAGCCTGACGCAGGCCGTAGACCGGGCGCCTGAGAAGCCACTGGGTCCCAGGAGGGAAGGTACCAGTGAAGCCCTGTGGTCGGCGCAGGTAGACCTGCTCGTGTAGGCTGCCCTGAAGAAAGGCAGTAGAGAAGTCGAGAGAGTGAAGCTCGTAGTCACGCTGTGCTGCTACGTGTAGCAGCGCCCGAAGAGTGGTCATCTTCGGGGTCGGGGCGAAGGTCTGGAAGAAGTCAACCCCCTCGCGCTGACTGAAACCTCTGGCCACGTAGCGCGCCTTGAAGACAGGCGGCTCTCCAGGGGGGCGCTTCACCTTGAAGAGCCACCGACCATCGACTACGTTCACCCCAGGCGGGGGAACTGCGTCGACGTAAGTGCCGGTGGATCTCCAAGATGCCATCTCCTGCTCCATGGCAGCTATCCACTGAGAGGCCCAAGGTCCCGAGGTGGCCTCAGCGTAGGTGCGAGGGGTCGGGATGTCGAAGGCGTCTGGGTCACCCTCAGGGACTAACAGCATGGAGCAGAGATGGGGAGCAGCCTCGGAAAGGAAAGCAAGCTCGTACTGCCTGTCCTCTAGGACGTCACTGCCAAGGGCAGGAGCACCCCCGACGGACAGAGGAGGGGCAGGGTAAGAGACCAGAGCGGTAGCGTAGTCAAGGCGGCGGGTAGAGGCGAAGTCAGCGACAGCAGCGACAAGCGCGTCAAGGCGCGAGACAGGAACAGCAGGGTCGGTAACAAGAGAGGCAAGGACCCGAGGGACAAGGGGACGAGCAGCACGGAGGTAGTCAGAGAACGGAGGAGGTGCAACAGCAAGGGACGAGGGAGGAGGGGACGGGAGGAGGGGAGGACGAGACGAGTGGGAACGGAGCAACATAGGGTGGGTGGGCAGGACAGGAGAGACGGGACGAGCACGGGAGGGACGGCGAGCCCAAACGTGAGACGGAGGGGTAGGGTCAGGGGACAGCGGAGGAGACACAGGAGGGGAACGAGGAGGAAGACGGGCCGGAGACGAGTCTGGCGGCGGGAACACAGGACCGTAGACAGGAAGGTCAGGAGGCGGTGGGGGAGACACCGGCGCGCGGTCCGGGGAGGGAAGGCCGAGCAGGCGGAGAGCGGAAACCGGCGGCGACGGCTGCTGCGGCGGCGACGACGGCTGGGCCGGAACTCTCGGACCAGCAGAGGCAGAACGACCGTCGGCAGAACACTCAACAGCAGCACCCCCAGAACCAGCACCCCCAGAGCGAGAACCCCCTCCAACACCAGCGGCACCCCCAGAAGCCGCAGGACGAACACCCTCCTCCACACCAGCACCCCCAGGGGCCGAGAGCAGCGGCGGCAGTGGCGGCAACGGCTGCGGCGGCGGCGACAGCGGCGGCAGCGACAGCGGCGGCGGCGGCGACGACAGCGGCGACGGCTGCGGCGGCGACGGCGACGGCGGCGGCAGCGGGGTCGGCGACTGCGACAGTGGGGGCGGAGGCACCGGGGAAGGGGGACGCTGCAAGGACGGACCGGGGGTACCACCAGAGTCAGCAGACTCCTCAACGGGGACAACCGACGGGAGGGGAGTGACGTGGGAGACACCAGACGGGGCAGGACGAGGCGGGAGAGGGGCAGGGGCTACCGGGGGAGAGGGAGCAAGGAAAAGGGGGGGGGCAACTGGGAGACCTCGGTGAGGGAAGCGGCGGTAGAAGGAGACGGACTCGTCAAAGGTGACGTCACGAGAGTGGAGGAAGCGGTGAGACGGCGGGTGGTAGAAAAGCCAGTCAGACGAGTCCAGGGGGAAACCGAGGAAGACACAGGGGACAGTGCGGGCAGTGAGCTTGTCCGTGCCAGAGGCACGAACGTGAGCAAGGCAGCCCCAGACGTGGAACGCAGACGCGTCACCGGGGGACCCGGTCCAAAGGAGGGTCGGCGAAACCTGCGGCCGCTGGGAGCGTGGCCACAGGTTAAGCTGGTGAGCCGCGTAGCGAACAGCGAACGGCCACAGAAAATGGGGGGCATCGGCATGGATCATGGAGGTACGGGCGACCTCCATGACCAAGCCGATGCGGCGCTCAGCAACCCCATTCTGCTGTGGCGAGTCCGGCAACGTGTACGACTGGGTGATGCCCTCCGCACGACAGAACTGTCCAAGCCGACCAGAGGCGAACTCGCCGCCACCGTCGGAGTGGAGACACAACACGGGGAGACCGCGGTGGAGACGCGCAGCCACAACCCACGGGAGAAGAACGTCGGGCACGTCGGCCTTCCGCTCCAGGGGAAACACCGTGGTGTAGCGCGTGTAGTCGTCGACGAGCACAAGGAAGTAGCGCTCACCGCGCGGTCCGGGGACGGGGGCAGGGCCCCAAACGTCCAAGTGCAGGGTCTGAAGGGGGGCAGTAGCAGGACGCAGCGAGGAGGAGTGAGGAGCACGGCGGAGCCGACCCTCGACGCAAGGCGTGCACGGTGGCGCAGTCGAGGGAGGAAGGGCAGGGAGCGACGCGGGGAGACCTAAGACAAGACCGTGCTGGGACATGTGACGCAGACGCGGGAGAGCAGGGTGACCTAAGCGGTGGTGCCAGAGAAGGGAGGGGTGAGTGAGGGACCGACACGAGCAAGCTGCAGCGACCTGGGAGGACGCACCAACCGGGGGGGAAGCGGTGTGTAGGGTAAACAGACCGGACACCGGGTCCCGGGGGAACGTCGCAAGGGGGGAACCTGAGACAGCCTCAGAACAGACAGCGAACCGCTCGTGCCCGGGGAACGTGGTGGTGACGCCGAGGTCCTGGAGACAGCCGACACCAACCAGGTTCCTGGAGAACGAGGGAACGTGGAGGCCAGTAAGGGAGCCCGAGGGAACTGCCGGACAAGGAAGGGACGTAGAACTGCGCGCGACGACCGGACCCGCAGAGGGGTCAGCGAGAGAGACAACAGCAGGTGCAGCAAGCGGCGTGAGCGTGGAACGGTCGCGGAAGAAGCAGGCAGAAGC